GGAGTTCTACGACGAGAGAAGAAGAAACGCAACACTTTTGGAGGCGTGTGTGAAGTTTATTGAAAATAACAAGTTTCTTGTGGAAGTTGTAAAGCGCAAGATGAACACGCCGGGTGACAAAAATGAATTGGGTGAAATGTTGAAGGCATTTAATAACTACATTGACCAACAATTGGCGGAAAAGATGCTGGAAATGAAAGAGAAACAGGACACGACTACGATAACAGAAGCGAATGCAGAGATCCTTTTAAGAAGTGAAGAGATAGAAAAACAGTATAATACGATCAAAGACGAAGTGAATGAACTGCGAGAGGAGAACGACTTGTTGAGAAAAGCAGTAGACGATCTTGAAGACGAAAAACTGGACAACCACGAAGTGGAAGACGAACTGGAGATTCAATTGAAAAAGAATAAGGAACTGCAGTCTGAAATAGAATGGTTAAAGAAGAAAATAGCAGTGAGAGAGAAGTTGGATGAAAAGAAAAAACTGGAGAAGCAAAATGAAGACGCGGGATTGAAAGAAAAAGTCGAGAACATCACACAAGAAAACGAGAAATTGAAAAAATGCGTTGAAGAGAACGAAAAGGAAAAGGAACGAATTACTCAACAAATTCAGGGTCTTGAAGGAGAGAGAGAAACGTATAAACAACTTGTGGAAAAGAAGGAAATTGATATACAGAATTTACTCACAGAAAATGCAAAGAAGACAACACCAGGGGAACAAGGGAAGACGATTGATGTTGATGAATATAACGTTGTTGTTGCTGAGAAAGAAAAGATCAAGACTAATATGGAGAAAATGAGAGAAGGAATATACAGAGAATTGAATAAACTTCAAACACAGAATCAACAAATTACCCAAGAACTATTGGGTGGGTTGGAACAAATTAAACAAAGTACGAAGGTGCTGATTGATGAGAATAAGAGGGCGAGATGGATATTGGACCTCTTAAAAACTGATGAGAAGGAGAAAAAGACTAATTGAGTGTTATTATTATTATTATTATTATTATTATTATTATTATTATTATTATTATTATTATTATTATTATTATTATTATTATTATTATTATTATTATA